TGCACACATTGCTGAACAGCCAATTCATGAGACACAAACTCCACTGGACTACGTAGTCCAGAACCTTCAATGCCGCACTGGTAACCCTAGGAACCGGTGCTATGCTAATGCTCCCGCCTGTGAACAACACAGCCCTCAAAGATGACGGGGTGGTCAACATCACTTCATTGAGAACGCTCAACACTTTGTGGCAGCAATTTGATGACACCGTTCAGGATGATGCTTCCCAGCAAGGAAGCATTTGGCTGACACCAAGCATGCAATCCAGGGCTACTTTCATGTGGATCACCGTCATCAAGTACACAAGGGGAAACCCTTCCCAACTCATCTGCTGTGCCCTGAGAAAACAGAAGACCAGGGTTGGAGCAGATCTTACCAGAATGGGCCAACACTGAATGGGCGAGGCCTCTGGGTAGGCCACATTGGACGCTATGTCTTGCAGGATGGGGAATGGACCAAGCGCCACCACATCCTGAATGTTCCCGCCATCTTCAACCTTCCCTACACAGAGGATGGCAACACCACCAAAACGGAGCAATACTCCCTCACCGGTTTGCTATGCCACTCGGGCAACGCACACCAGCATGGACACTTCTATGCGGTCTACGCATATATCGTGGTGTGTACTGGATTGTGGATGATGGTTCCTATTACCTGAACTACCAGAATACCTCAAACGGCAAATTGTCCAAGTCTTCACAGCACTTGCTGCCTGCCAACGTCCTCTGTGAATTTGCAAGTGGCAAAGCCCCTGAACAACACCCAGAGCCTGAAGCCAAACGAAGAAGTTTAAGAGGGGTGAGTTTTGCATTTGCCAATGTCACTCTGTGCGGCAATGGTTGCTCACGAGACCCCGGGCTCCTCTTCCTGGCGGAGACGCATTTGGCTCAGGAGGATAACTTGAAGGCTCATCAAAGGTTTGCAGCGCGGGGCTTTGGTGTCCTGAGGCAACCGGCAGCAGAAAGTGCCAAAGGCGGCACACACGGGGCCTTCATGCTTTTGTACCCTTCCAACAAGAACATAGTGGATGGCTGTGGCTGGTACGCCACCCAATGGACTTTCCACAACGTCGATGTGATCATTGCTATGGCCTACTTCTGCACAGAAGAGGGCATCCAAGGCCCCACAATGCCTTGCAGTGGTCAGGGCTCCTCTCCTTTGTCACGAGCCCCATCATCATCTCCCCAGAAGAGTTCATGACCACAACCATGAGCACTGTGATGCAGGTGCAGGCGCTGGCCACGGGCATGCCCAGCTCATTTTCCATTGGTTTTCAAGAGCGCATTGCGGTCCAGCAGATCCAGAAGTACAGCCCAGCGCCTAGTCTTGATTTGCCTGCCAAGGAGTGGTAACAGATTGACGAGTGCAATGGTTTGACCTCAAAACTGACTCCACTACTCAGCGGTTGGGGGCGCTGTCCAGAAGCACTGAAATGACAGTTCTCTTCATGGCACTATGACGCTCGGTCATGAGACCTGCAGGCACTCTGTGCCCGGGACTCCTCGCTCCCATGTTGCGTTCGTCTTGGATGTCCTGCTGCCACTGCCTGGTGTGTGAGCTTCTCAATCTGCACCACAGACGGTACAGTGGCCACCAATGCAATCGGTCTCTCAATTTCAGCAGACTTTGGAAGCAGGGCTATCAGTGATGTAGTCCATTGTTGCGGTATCGCAGCCTGGGCCTCAATCTGGTGGAAGATTTGGATCAGGTCCGACATGGCCTGAAAAGGAAGTGCCTTCAGGAAGTCAAAGCCAATGCCATCAAGGCCGGGCGCTTTGAGGCTGAGCTGTTTGATGGTGTACCAAACCTGTTCTGGTTGGAGAGGCCTCATGGTTTGCCCTTGTTCAACTCACTTGCCAATTAGATCCTTCAGGTCCTGCACCTGCAATGGGTCAGCTCGAATGCCCCAAAATGTCACCCCACTGCTGCGTTCTCAATGCCATGCGTTCTTGTCTGGGACGATCTTGGAAGGGTCTCATGTATGGCAAACGGGATGACCTATACAGCTTTCGGTAGCCCTTCTTGAAGCTTTGCTGAGCCACTCTCTGTAGGCCTGGGTGTCATGCTCAAATGCCATTTGCTGGTGGAGATCCCGGATTTGTGAGGTGTGTGAACCCCTCCAAGGCGACCGGACAATCCTCATGCCCGTGCGCCAAATCCATGGCTTGCTGGGCCTGCAGTGGCAGCTTGGTGAGTTGGAGGTGAATGCCACGACCATAGGTGTGGACGACAAACGGCATCCTGGCTGGAGACCCCCCTCGGCCCATCGCCGCCTATGAGTACATTCGAGAGCTGCTGGAGCAGGACAATCTCAAGATCTCTGAGAAGAAGACTGGTTTCGTTGTCTCGCACACTGCAGAGCGGCGCCTTTTACAAGAGCGCCTTCCGGCCAATGGCCCACAAGCCCATGAGAGACCTCGGAGTGGACTGCACTGCAGGGCGGTTGAGCCGCATCATGACCATGAAGAACCGTCGAGGAAAGGCAGCACGGAAGACCAAAAAGCTGACAAACTTGAAGATTCCTCAGAGAAGCATGCGCCTGAAGCTGTACAAAAAGGAGCGTCCTGGCAGGAGTCCGTTGGGGGCATGAAGCCATGGGCCTAGCCCCACAGGTTCGGCGTCGAATTCGGGCAGTCATGGGCCGCCGGCTTGGTTTGCAGAAAACAGGCAACACTGACATTGTCTACGACATGAACCCAGCACACCAAGACCCTGACAATGGCTCCTTCATGTCCCAAGTCAAGGCCTACAGACGCTTCTTTGGCAACTGGTCGGAGGCAACTCGCCGCAATCTAGAAAGGGCATGGCAGGCGGTCTACGACAGATTGGAGCGAGCTCAGCATCCTCGGCAAGTCGCCAAAGGCCCTGTCACGGCCCTCCAGCGTTATTTGAAGGAGCACAATAGAGAAGAGCTCAAACGAGCTGAACGGTGGGAGCGCATTGAGCGCATCAACAAGCGCACCATGCTCAGTGAGGTCCAGAACACCATGGATTGGAAGCCATGGCAGCAGCTGACACTCACACTCACTAGCCGGGACAGTGCGGCACACCTCCTGGCAATTGGAGGAAATAAAGGTTCCAGCCGTGATCAATCTCAAAGCGGTCATCCAGTTCCATCTCCGGAAACTCCTCGTTGGTGGCCTTGCACATCCAAAGAAGGTGCAGGGGTGTGGCAGGTTGGCGACAGTGAGGGCTTCATTGTCTCCCATCTTGGTGAAAAGGGCGTTCTGGTGCCATGTGAGGAGTGGCTGTCCAGGCATGGGGCAGCTGGACGGTTCATGACGAACTCAAAGTTGGCAACACAGCGGTCTTCACCATTGGCATTGCGGCCACCAGCAAAGACAGCCGCCTTCCTCACTTTGTTGTGGCCTTCAACTGGATGGGTCCAGCGGCATGCGAGCATTTTAAAAGGTTGCGGATAGTTGATATCTCACAAACCGAAATCAGTGAGATTCTGGGAGGTACCTTTGCACATTGCTCACAGCTGCAGCAGCTCCGACTGGCCGAAGCAGTGAGGCGCATTGGGCGAGACGCCCTCCTAAACTGCACCTCCCTGGGTGAACTACACATCCCACCCGCTTTGCTCTTTATCGACAAACGAGCATTTGCTGGCTGTACACAGCTGCGCACGCTCATCAGAGTAGGAAGCAAGACAACTTGGAGAGGTACTTACGCAGTGCACGATGCATTCGAGTCGTGCGTGCAACTGGTGCATCATGCTGGCATGGGGCAGGAGCTCTACCGCATGGGGCAACAATCTCTCAGGAAAACAGTCCCTAAAACGGGCCTGGTTCTATGGGCTGCGGATGGCTGCACATTACATTGAGCACCCAGGTGAAACTGCATGTCATGTCGACCAAGGCATGGGAGGCATGGGTCCAAGCAAAGCGTGGCCACATTTTCCACGACCATAGATCACCGCACACAGATCAAGGCCCTCCAGCCTAACCACACAGCAAGTCCGACAAATGCCCACTGGCGTCATGACCCTCAAGAACCGGTTTCACGACGCGACCTAAGCAGCTACTGAGATTGCACTAGCATCGAGGCCTCATGCAGAGGAAGCCATGTTGAAACAACAGGATGCCAAATACAAGAGAGTTGCACTTCTGGCCATCAAGCGCATCAAGTACATCCTTGACACCAAGGAGCATTTCATGCACCAGCAGAGAGAAAAGGGCAAGGTGCTGCGCAATCAAACTCAGGAGCAAAAGAAAATGCTCTATGCAGCGCGCGGGCAGTCGCAAGGAGAGGCAGGGCGCAGCAATGCACTCACTGCGTCAAGAGGGTCACGCTCCATTCCACGCTTCCTGAACTTCAGGAGGCCTCCCAAGAACGATGCCCAGGAAACCCCGTCAGCTTGATTGGAGGAAGCCCAATGGCCAACATCGACACCAAGCAAGAGATCCTTGCCTTTGTGGTCCAGAACTCGTACATTGTATGCCAGCAATGTGGAGGACGTCTGCTCAAGAACGCGGCCAGAGAAGCTTGTGGCTCTGGCGGAGACAGTGTGCTGGAACGAAGCCTGGACGCAGCCCCAGGGCTGGCAAGGCCATGCCACTCAGCGAAGAGGACACATGGTGGCGTGCCAACGCTGCAAAGCCAGGGCTCTCCAACACGGTGGCAATTGGACGGCCAGCAGAGCGCTGAAGACGCGTTGTGGTGAAGCAGCAGACCACGACTTACGCTGCCGACATGTTTCAAGGCTATGAAGGATCCAACTGCACCAGAAAAGGAGCGAAGAAAAAGAGAAAACATGTAAATATATATATATACACACTATACACATATTATTCTATAGATATGTGTTTTGTTTTTGAGTGAGAACCCCTAAGCTATCGTTATCTGGGGAAATAACAAGACATTCTCCCACATGAAGCCAACCCGACAATGGGCACTGAATGACCAACTCTGTTACGTGTTTATACAACCTCTTGACACACCCCACACCTTTTTTGTGGCGTCTCATCCTCCCAGCTTTCCCATACTGAGTTGAGCACATGAACTTTTTGCATTCCCTGCGGAATGTCGAAATCCTTGGCAACAAGGCTAATTGCACCATTTTGAGGCTAACACATGCTAGTGCAGCGTGTGAGAGATGGGATAAGTTAGCCAAGTGTCTTGAAGGTAAGAGGTGCGTGCAATGGCTTTGCAAAAATCTGGTAGCTCCGGATCTGGACAAAGAAGTTGCGGTAAACTTAGAGTCTCTGCAGTCACGACTGTAAAATTGTAGGTTCCTGTAGAAATCCATCACTAATGACAGCGATTGAGGGCAACTTTTGCTGGCAAATGTACACTTTCGGTATGAGAGCTAGTGCAAGCCGAAGAAGGCCTTATGAAAAGCTCCGCAAACGTTCCTTTATGTACAAACAGGTTAAGGTGAGGAGTGAGGAGCACAAGTTTGTTTCGACGCTCAGGTTCGGCATTGAAAGCCGTACCGAGCAACGACATTGCAAATTGACTTGAAGTATGCAATTGTCTCATCTTGTGCTCCAAGGAACAATGCCGAAGCTGTGACCCCCCACTTGCGACTTGACTAGTTGCTACATTCGAAGCTTGGGGTTGAAGGACCTGCCTCCATGGGCTGCTGGGGCAAAAATAATTGGTCAAAAGAATGCCAATTTAAGCAAGACGATCGATGTGCTCATGTGCAGGAGGCCAAATAGGAAAAAATATTTCAATATGTCATAGAGAGACATCAATCAGGTTGAAGTACATTGAAGTACACTTTCATTTGGCCTTGGCCTTAGCGCATCAGCACTCATCCTGGGCCCGGCTGGTTACAACCAGCCTACTGGCTACAACCAGCATCATGCCTGTTGATCGTACACCTCACAAATGAGAATGAGAGCATGCAGCACAACTTGCATGGGAAGCTCGATTATTCAGATGGAATCTAACATGGCTCCAAATGCAAGACATATCTGGCCCCTTTTGCAGGAGTGCGAAAAGGAGAGGTTGATAATTGCTGCAAGTGGCAGTCCAGTCACCATATGGCATATCGAAGGACAGCCCGACACCTTAGGCCATCTGGCTTTTTGTCTGCCGGTCATCACCAGAAAGGGATGGAAGAGGAAGAGGAGAGCTGCAAAGTGAGGCAGAGAGAGGGAGAGAGCGAAGAAAGAGGAAGGGAGTGAGAGCAAGACATAGGATGGAATGCATAAATTTGCAAGCCGCTAATAATTGATGCAGACTATGCCAAACAACAAAAAGACACAGCTAGGCGGGACCCAAGAACATCAGGAGCCTAGCTTAGCGCTTTGAGATTGCATTCATGCCCTACATCCCTTTAGATCATTCCTACATACCTTTAGAGTTTGGCTTCTTTAAGATGAAGTCAGGGCTGTGTCTTCAACAGATCGAAGATTTCAACCTTTCACCGGTGGCAAGGACCGAACCCTCCAGCTCAGGGCCCTGTCTTTCTTCGACACTGCATCCGGCTCAGGGTGCGGCAGGTCCTCCTCAGCTGGTCTCCACCAGTTCTTCTGCTTCTCCTCAAGGTTTAACTTTTCTTTTCAGTTTTGTAGTTTCTGGAAGTCAATTCAATACAACAGAAATGACATTACGTTCTCTTGAAATGTTGCAGCACATAGCATGCTCTTCTCCTCGAGAATCTCGCACGAAAGAACTGCTGGGAACCCATGGCCTTCGCTTCCACCTGAAAGTTCACAATCACAAAAACCACAGCAGGCTGTGATTATGGTAGTCTGAGCTGCGCACTCAACTTTGAGCACTTGGAAGGAAGCGAACAAATCGACCTCAGGTCGAGGCTGGTCAAAGCGCTTTCAGTGACCCACGCCTAGGCCTTGCTTGAAGGGTCAAACGCCAAAACACCATTGCAGAAATCCATGCTCTGAGGAGAAGGCTCGGTGTCTGAGTCTGGGCGCTCTGACTCTGCTCTGTCCTGGCTCACAGAATGTCGAAGCATTCGACTTTGACCTTCAGGACCGTCAGAACGCAGAACACAGGCGGCCTCCTTTGATTTGACAGGTAGCCTTTCCCTTGGCCTCGAGAGAAAGCCAACCTCCCTAGAGAAAGATTGGCAGAAAGTCTCCGTGTCAATTTCCGTTCAGAGAATGTTCTACCTTGTTTATTTGGTGCTTCTGTTTGTTTCCAAGTTTTGGCCTTGGAGCTGGCGGAGGCTTTGACAACTGGCAACAGTTGAAAAAGAACAACCAGAGGTTGTGCATGCCACCATACGAGACATCAGACCTCTTGCAGCTTCGGCACAGCCTTCAAGTTCAGAGCCTAAGGTTGAGTACAGGAATGGAGAATGGATGACTTGACCCCAAGTCGCGGTGCAGCTTGCGTGTCCTTTCTAGCTGTGCTTCTCGGGATCACACTCCATCCAATTTGACCTTGTCTTCCAGGGTGCGCCTGAAGTCTCAAAGCTGACTGGTTTTTTGGAGAATGCACAAAAACTGCCGCATGTCTGCAATTCCTTGAGAAGCAAGACTACCCTCCTTTAGGAGCCAACTCTGGGCGCAGCAAGCTTCGGGTAAAATGCTCCATAAATCCAAAACCTACGAAGGTGCTCAAAATAATTGACAAGGCTCACAGTCCTTGCCGTTTAGCAGAGTTGAAGCAACGTTCCCTGTCAATTTGCATCCAAGGGGCCCTTGAATGCCTGTGGCCTCCTTTCACGCTCCCGTCGCTGCACCGGCTTTTGCCGAAGCTTTGCCTCGGGCCCTCTGGCGACTGAAGGCCGTCCCTAAAGGCACAAACAGAATGAACTTGAATTTGAAGCTATAGCCACTAGGAATAAATGGTAATAAGGTAATAAATGGCAATAAATGAATTTGATAATAAATGGTAACAAGGTGCCAATGAACGAAGAACAAAGGACTGTGAAATATGGACGGAGGACGGCCCTTGAAGTTCGCTGAGAGGAATCGGAGCTATCTACATTAAAGCGTGGGGACCTTGAGCCATAGGCCACAAACAAGGATTGTAGTCGTCAGTTCAAACACAACCGAGTCCAAGCAAAGAAGATCAAATGAAGAATCCGACTGGAAGCCTGCTGCAAGATCTGCGGCATGAAAATCTGACAGGACTGATCCACCTGTCCAAAACAAACCGGAGATAGAGAGATGGATTATGCGAAAAGGCTCTCACAATAATCGTTTCGGGGCCCAAACCCAGCCAGGTGCGCTGTTGGTGATAATGACCACTGTGCCCATCCTGAACTGTGTTCATGAGAACCGAACGAAACGACCCACTACATCATCTGCGAAGCTTTAAGCAGTAATTTTGTGTAGCTTCGAAGCAGCCAGCTGCAAGGTCTGGGCTGCTGCCTGAAGAATAAAGAACTGACGCAATATATAGTGAAGTTGTTATTTTTGTTCTAAGTCGGGCACGGAAGAAAGACTGGCAAGTTGCCTTTGAACCTCCGGCCTCAACGGCCCACCTGCGTTTACTGAACAGCTCTCCGCCTCAAACCTATGAAAGCAAACCCTACTTCCGAAGAAGAAAAACAAAGCAAAGCGACACAAAGTAACTAGGGAGTGGTTCTCTAGTACGCAAATCTGTCGCTCTCACCACCAGCAAGAGCATGAATGCGCTCGAGCCACGACCTGAGAAGACAGGCATCAAACCAATGGGTCAACATATCCAAGAATCAACTTCGCTGAGGTCAAATCGTTGGAAGTATGGTATCATCCCAATCAAAGACCAGGCAAGTCTCCTCAACGAGCAATCAAGTTGCGGTAATGGTACAAACATACGAAGCGCTAAACTCCGCAAGGCAGCTAGCAGCGATGCAAACCCCACTCTTAACTCTCCTGCTTTAATGCAGATGACGGTCGTGGGACGCTTGTTTCACTACTCTCGAGATCCTGAGAGCGGTGCTCACACATCTGGCGAGCTCAATGAATCAGCTGGAAACTGGAAACCGCTCATCAAACCCAATTCCCAACCTTTTCCCGGCTTGCATCGCTTCGTTCGCCACACACGGCATCCATCAGGAGTGGCACAGGCCGTGGCCCCCTCTTTGGATCCAAGACATGTTGCCACCATCGAAAATACAATTTGCAATTTGCGGTCAAAAAGTCAACGGCTCAACAAACCACAAATCCGTCACATGACATGAAAATGTCAAACACGTCTTCAAGAAAAACATCATGTGCTGGACAGCTGTTCGGGCAGCTCCCGGACCGCATCGACAGGGTTGGAAAAACAAATCACTTGGCTTTCGAAACGATTTGGATCACAGTTCAAAGGTTAGGTTGGAGGCCATCGTTATTAGGTTGCAGGCCATCGCTTGTAGCTTGGAGGCCATGGTTTCTAGGTGGAGTGAATTGATGTTTGGTACCCCAACTCTTTTTGAACCCAGCGTTACACGGCATCACACCGATAAGAACAATACATCCTCAAGTACGGCAAACACCCTGCTTTGTGTATACACGAAAATTTTGGTTGAGAGCGCGCGGTCGACCTGTGCCATTCCAGGCGCGTAGAGTGGTAACATGGTTCCGCTCAAACGTCAAACCTTGCAAGTCCAGCATTTATACGGCTAATGTTCCCCTTGCGTCCAGCAGCTAGGGAGGCCCACTTTGGCGGCGACCCCGGAATCCACTGCGTTTTTGGCGCTTGGTTTTGGGGCCGCCAATGAATGGACAAGATTTTCGCATGCGTCGTGATCCGCTTGCTGCCGTTTCCCAATCTGCTTTCCAACCCCAAAAGTGGAACCCCACCCATTACATTGGAGCCACGCTTGCGATTTGCGATACCTGCCAGCTGCATGGCACACTAGCCCCTATCCAGAAAATAATTTGTCAGACCTCTGATTTCAAAATGTTCGTTCTGCGCACAACTTGACCGCTTTACATTGTTCCTGATCAGTCAGCTGAAAACTGGACCACGTCATCAAACCTGCAGGCGCAGGCTACAAGCGCACGCTTTGCCACTTGAAGCGGAGCAGCTATCATGACGGTTGGAGTCTACTTCAAAAAACACGTGGGTGAGCCTGTCCGGAGTCGGCGGAATTACAAACATGAGCAAATGTCCCTTGTCCTGCACATGGAGTCGGCACTGGCGTTTTGAAAAAGAAACTTTTTTGAAACGACAGAACCTGAACTCCATGAACCTCGAAGTGCAGATTTCGTGGCAGGTGCAGCACTTGGTGAACCTCGAAGTGCAGATTTCGTGGCAGGCACAGCACTCTGTGACCCTCGATGTGCAGATTCCGTGGCAGGTGCAGCGCTTGGTGAACCTCGAAGTACAGATTTCGTGGCAGGCGCAGCAGTTGGTGAACCTCGAAGTGCAGATTTCGTGGCAGGTGCAGCACTTGGTGAACCTCGAAGTGCAGATTTCGTGGCAGGTGCAGCACTTGGTGAACCTTGAAGTGCAGATTTTGAGCCCGGACGGATTCGGGCCGTCATGAGGCATGGCTTTAAGAGGGGGAGGTGGACTCGAGAGGGTCCGGGGGGGACGCTAAACTCAAAGGGCGCGGCGCAGGGAGCTGTCTGGCCTCTGAATGAACACGGTACCTTCGCACCCCCTAGTCGGCGTGAGTTGACATGTTGGGTGGCCCCACATGTCACACCCTCGTTTGTGTTTGCGCGCATCCTTGGGCGATCGTGCGGTCTCCGGTTCGCCGGACGCCGATCGGTACTCACATGGTACGGGATCGACGGGTCCCACCTCACCTGGTGTCTAGGTTGGCCACAACCTCTGATGACATCGCGGAACAGGCAAGGTCGGTGAACCTCTGAGGGATTCGTTCTCGGAGGGGTCACAGGGCAACCCGTTGGCTAACGGTCAATATTCATCGTGGGTAGCCAAGCTCATGGTGGGCAAGACCGTCGGCTCCTCTCTAACTGTGTCAGGGTCCTGTCGCGAGACAGGTGTACCCCACTGGGGTGCATGGGATCGCTGACGACTGGGTCACCGACCGGTCCACTCTCTCCTTTGAGAGTGCACGAGTCGAGGCGCTATGTGTGCAGGTTATGCACAATTCACCTTAAGCTAGTAAAAGAAAGAGAAGTGAACCGGCCAGCAAACCGAAACCGAAGCAACCAAACAAAAAAAAACAAAACAAAGCAACCAAACAACAACAAAACACCCCACCAAAACGCTGGCTAGGTTCCTACCTCCGGATGGCTGAGTCAGCCGAAGAGCGGTGAAACAGGATGCGGTCTGGGGCAATGAATTCTTCCCTTGCGCTCAGTACGTCATCATCAGGTTCTTGTGCTTCGTTTACCATCGAAGTAGAATCACTGCCCTTTGACTGGCAAAATCATCTGCATTCATGATACGAAGGCAATCGAACTGCCCGCCTTGCTTCAAACGGGGGCAATGTTGCACAGTCGGAAGGCTGCTAGATCAATGTTGCACTGACATGGAAGGCAATCAAAGACAGCAACATTCCGCTATCATGCTCACAAGGTTCCAGAGAGGTATGGACCATACGAGACATTCCGACTCAGGGAAAACAGCTGGATCAGCAATCGAAAACTACAAATCGTCGAAAGGAAGAGCCAGCGGAGCTATGTAGTCGAAAGAGTGGAGGTGCGAGCAAGAGCGGGCCCAAATCCCCCCCCAGAGGGAGGGGGAGCAGTAGAGGTGCCCATCCACGATGCGACGGTGACTCCAAAAACAACAGCTTTGCCACAGGAAGTCACAGAAAGGCAGATTGTTTCCACAGCTCACCAAGAGCCGAGTTGGGCAGTCGACTGGCGCTATCATAATGGGGGTCGTCGGGCGCCTTGCAAGTGCGCCTCCTGTGTGCAATCATTTGCATTCATGAAACGTGCAGGCCCCTTGAACTACGTAAAACAAGGTGAAACACCGTTATCCTATGTTCTGTGCGCTGTACAGGCTGTACATTCTGTACTCATCCAGAGTGGGCTCAATGTACACTGGCCACAGTAAGGGTCTTCTGCGGAAGATTCGAGCTGTGCCCTGTGGGACCGGAGTCACTGAAAAGGTGACTAAGACTAACCACTTCTTTTTTGTGGGGGGCATCACGTGTGGGTTGCCTTGGTTTGGTGTGGTGAACATCTTGGGTGAAATGAATGGGTCCGTCTCAACGTCCACTTGGGTTGTAGTTCTCCGTTTGGAGAGCACGTTCCACGGGTTACTCTGTACTTCCTTGGTCGAAATGAACGGGTTTGGCCCCACGTCAAGCGGTACCATGCTGTCCTTGCCCTGCGCTAAAGCGAGGTCAGATACCATTCCCATCCCGTCCCCTTCAGGGATTCCACAAGGATGCTTTCACTCGTTGGGCATCCAAAGTGTTACTCTGGGGGCGATGTTGAGCAAACAAGACATAGAGCTTATGAAAAATGCAAACAGCTGCTGTGGTTGGCACCCTTCACATGCACAGCTTCTCGCACTGTCAGCCTGCCGCCCTGCTTTTTTTTCCCACGAGTACGGACGCCATGTGGGCGGTGCACCCAGGTCATCATAAGAAGGATGGAGACTCTGCTTATTGGTAGGGGAGAGCAACACAAACCAAAAAACCCAACCCAAAAACCACCCCAGAAGAACAAGCGCCAAAAACCCCAACAACCAATGTAGCAGAGTTTCGCCTGTACTAAGGTGAGACGCGTGAAACAAAGAGTGACTGACTAACTAGGTGGGCCCGAATTCGCGCCAAAAGGAGTTTGCTGTATCAGGACTTTGGCTGTCGTCCTTGAAGGCCATTCAAAGGCGGCCTTCGTATGTGGACAAGGGGAAGAGTCACCCTTGCCAGATCCGGTTGCGGGCACATCAGCCTTGTTCAAGAACAATCAAGGCAGCATGCGCGTAAAGATTGCAGCACGAAGGTTAGTGATGATCGGAATAAGTCATCACGTTGCAATGCTTTGCAGGCCGCGGAAAACAGCATTTCAAAAGCACAACCACTACAAATGGCTGCACGAGCAAAAGAGGCTGTGGCCAGGTATGGAGACAGACGTGATCGACATCGGCTACAGGCAACCAATTTACCTCCCTCCGGCTGGGGGAGGCATCTCACGCCCACCCTAAACGCTCCCGGGCAGCCAGCGGAGGAAACCTGGGGGGCGTGCGCTATCAAACTTGGATAGAGCAGTCATCTAGTCTATCCTCTGGCACGCATGGCCCTGGTGAAACAGGTGAAACCAAAGAAACATCCTAGTATGGTTCTTGTGCCATCTTTGTACAAGATTGGCTGAGTGCTGACTCCCACAGACAAGGAACTGAGGTTCTCACCTGGGCGCCAATCGTCTACAGAACTACTGCCACGCGCCAACTTCCGGCCAAGAGCTGAGGCTCACAGCCAGGTCGGCTCACTAACAGCTAGTGCGAAGACGAAAAAGGCAACCAGTTGGTACAGCTTATCTGGGCCGCTTTGGCAGGCGTGACCTTTGTGTACTGGCAAGGTGGAAGTCTCTTCTGGTTTGTGGGACATGGCGTGTGCACGAACAGACTTGGAGGGCGACGACTTCGAGACTGCTGATAAGTATGGGTGGGCGAACTAAGCAAGCCTGACACATAGCCTTGGTCTGGGATCATGTGCAGCCACTGCGGCCATCGCATGGCAGGGCATATGGCAAAAGCATTTTCCTCAGCATAAGTCCCCCGCCATCGGTGTCGGCCTGGGAGTTTAGTGAGCCTACTAAGTGCTGTGCAATCCAGGAAGGCCCTGCTGGCGATGTAGTGCAATGAGGGCGGTATCGCGAGTTCTGGTAATACAGAACAGTTCATAAAAGCCTTAACTCGGATGGTATACCATGAGTACGGCAGTTTGACCTCACGGAGGCTGGCACAGTGCACAAAGGTGAACTCCTGGATTTCCTCGATGCTTGAGTTCGAGATGTCTACATGCTTAAGTAACTTGCAATTGTCACAGGCATGTGCACCCAGCACTTGGAAATCCCGAGTTAACTCCAGTGTAGTGATTCCAGTGGAGCTCAGACATCCCGGCGGCAGTTCTTTAGCCTCAGCCTGAGTCTGTGGCTCCCGTTGACGGCTATCCTCCTGAAGGACAAAGGTGGCTAAGTTTATGCAGTCTCGAAAGAGGTAGTGGCCAAATTTGGTTGCACTTCCGAACTGGTTAACCCCTCCCCCATTGGCATGGACCCACTGTAGGGAAC